CTGTAATGACTGCAGGCCTGGGCCAGCCTCCTTCAGTGACCTCCATGGCTCAGCAGCCCCTCGGGACAGCGGAACACGCAGTGGAATCCAGCCCTGGTTCATTATGGACCTTTCTGTTGGGTTGTGAACAGGGGCTGTTGGTTAGCTGGTGGGCTCTGCAATGCATCTCTGAGCAAACGAAAGGCATGTCGCTAAGTAAGCCTTGTTCACGGAGTTCGTGGCATGCCAGCGCCCCGACCCAGCAGAGCAGAAAGTTGATCTTGAGTGTTTACCGAGCTGCTCTGAGAAATCAGCAGTACCTGTCCCCCACTGGCCACTTCCCAGGCCTAGAGGACTAATGACACTTCCAACCCCAAACTCAGAAAATGGAAAACAACCAACAAAAATGCCTTTTAAACTAAGTAGACTAGATGTGTTCAGGTGCTGTACACGTGTGGTCATTCTGCAGTGCGTACACACAGAGATATACCTGGGGGCGTCGGAAAGATCGTGGAGAAATTTCACTAACTTTTAGTTCCATTTTTCCAAGAACTCTTTCATTGAATTCCCATAGAAGTCCCCTCGAGTAAAGTCACCTAGACACACCCACTTTGTATTTTTTTTTCTTCTTTCACTGGACATGGTAGCAAACTCAGACCTTATTTCGCACCCATAAAAACCGAGAGAGGAAACTGGCATGGGAAGATGTTTCACCCTCATATGAGGGTTCAGGCGATGAAAGCAGCTCTATAGATGCCGGTAATGATGGGGAAACTGGTCCCATGAACAAATTCTCAGACTCAGGCATCAGTGAGGGGATGATAGATTTCTAAGGACACAAAGAAAATAATGGTTGATCATCCAATTAGTCATTCAAGAGAAAGGAAGGACTTTGTCCGTCAGTATTTTGTGATGTGAATGTGGACCGTCCCCTTTTGTGAAAAAGATACATATCAGAATTCAGTCATAGTTTTGATGTTTGTGGATCAAACTTTACTTGATATAATTCACAGAGAGGTACATGCTAAAGACAGGCGTGTATTCCATAGGTGATCAGGATGGATAGATTTAGAAAGGAAGAAAACAAACCCATTATTTTGGCCCTTCTAATCGATATTTATCAATCTGAAAACAAAACTCATTTTCACATATGGAACAAAGGAAATGACTGTTGTTTCTTTGGCAAAATTATAAGCCACCAGAATGTTTGTAAGCTCTGCCTTTTAACAATGCAGCTGCAAGAAGAAACCAGAAGTAATGATGAGCTGAAACCTATTTGAAATTGTTGTTGTTGTTGTTGTTAAGTGCCGTTGAGTCGGTTCCGACCCATAGCGACCCTGTACAGGGTTTCCGAGGGTGTAAATCTTTACGGGAGTAGAAAGCCTCATCTTTCTCCCGCGGAGCGGCTGGTAGTTTCGAACCGCTGACCTTAAGGTTCGCAGCCCGATTCGTAACCACTACGCTACCAGAGCTTCTTGGGGAGCATGATTTCATTTTGCAGGAAAACCCAGGAGTAATGACCCACCCCTGAGAAATGTAATTGATACCTGGCAGCAGCATTTATAAAGTGGGTCCCTGCCAGGTGGAGGTGTGGCAGCTTGTGAGCAGTTGTTGTTGTTGTGTGCCGTCGAGTTGGTTCCTACCCATAGCGACCCTTGTACAGGGTTTCCGAGGCTGGAACTGTGTACAGGAGCAGAAAGCCTCATCTTTCTCCCGTGGAGCAGCTGGTAGTTTCAATGTGCTCATTTCAGATGTTCTCTAAGCCACCCACTGCCTTTGAGTCCATTCTGACTCCCAGTGACCCCCTCGGGTGGGGAGAGTTGCCCGTTCGGGTGCTGGACGATGGGTGAAATGTCAGCAGGGTTGTGAGCATGAAGCAGCTCCAGTGTTCTGTTCTGGTGGACTTGGGCTCAGCACGAGAGCTGACGTTACAGTGCCCCCCTCTGGGATTAGACACAATGACATTAGGCGTAATGATAGCCAGTCTCCAGCCCAGCTGCGTATCCCAGTCAAGACAAAGAGGCTCGTAGGGTGGAAAAATGTGGTCCAGGCCACCTGACCTTTCAGCAGCTCAGGTACAGTTGGAGACCCTGTGACTCTCTCCTTTATGTGGAAGATGAGGATGGACAGCTCACGCTGAGTGTCAGTAGTGGAGCCCTCATCTCCCCTTCACTTTGCTGTGTATGGTTTGGTTTTTTCATTCCGAGGGGTGAGAACACATGGGGACAGTGTGTGCTACATTTATGGGGAGACCCAGCTGCATAAAGATGTCTCACCGACCCCTCAGGGCCCCAAGCTTCACTGATGCCACTTCTTCCTCGGTGAGCCTCTTCTGTAGTCCTTGTCTGGTCTGTTCCACTGTGGCGGGCATGTCAGATGTCTGAGCTTTGGCCTCACTTCTTAGAGCTGGATCGTATTCAAGGATTGCAATGACATTCATATTGAACGGTCTTTCTGGATCTGGCACGTGCCTGGGAAGCCCCGTGAACATAGTACATGCAGCACACGTCCGTAGGGAGTGGGTGTGTTCAGGTGGCGGGGCCGCCGAGGCCGCTTCTGGGCATTCTCTTCCAGACAGGCAGCTTGCCGAGAGCCCAGCTCCTGTCACTTTATAGAGCTCTGGTCCAAATAGAAAGGACAATCAATGTAATTACCTATGAAACTTTTCTTTACGGGGCGAATGAATTAGGAAGGAAAAAATGAAGTCTCCGTCACCGGTAACTTGATTTCAGGGCTGAATATGAGAGAATTAATTTCTCTGTGAAGACGAGGTGTCTGCTGGCTGGCGAGAGGAGAGGGAGAGCGCGCATGGAGATGTGTCCCCCGGCCCCGTAGGGTGGAACGACTCTGGGTCTTGGGGACTAGGTGGAAAATGAGGTTTGAGCATGGATGGTAGCAGGAGACCAGCAGTGAACAAACCAGAGACTTTCCACAGGTGTCAGAGCGGGAGGATGACGAAGGAGGAGAAGAGAGCTAACCAGAATTAATGCCATTACGCACCCCAGCGGGAACCCTGCCTCGGGGCGTCTCCGTCTCGGGGTACGCAATGAGCCTCATTTCTCACTCCAGAGCAGCCGGGGCTGGTGGAGCAGCTGAGATCCTCACCGCATCCCATAGCCAGGGGCCGGGCTCCGCTTGAATTGTGGTTTCTCCACATGGCACCACTGTGCAGTAGATGCCCGTTTCTAAGACCCCACGCCAAGAAAGCACTGCCCTTAGGCAGTGGCACAACATGCTCTGCTTCCGGACAGTACTGTGCTAGCTGGACCAGCGCGGAGCCCAGGGTCCAGGACAGAGCAGGGAACGCTGCTCATCCCTGCATGGCATGTGCTCTTCTGAAGTGGCGGTTCAAATCCATCCCGCCCCTCCTCGGGAGAAAAACCTGGCAACCTGCTTCCGTATAAGATGACAGCCTGGAAAACCCTGAGGAGCAGTTCTCTTCTGTCACGTGGGGACACACAACACCGACAATGTGCACCTCGGTGGGTTTTCATACATTTACACAGTTGTGCCACTATTGGCTGTCTCTAGTTTCAGAACATTTCAATATCCTTCAAAACAAACCCCACAGCGACCCCAGTGGTAGTTACTTCTCATTTCTGTCTCTAGCCCTTGGCAGCCACTTACCTCCTCTCCCCTTTCTCTGGGTTTACCTGTGTGCACATCTCATAAAGAGCTCTGGCTCACACCCACCTGACGTTCCTCCAGGGAGACATGAGGCCGTCTGCTCCTATAAAGACTTAGAGTCTCGGAGAACCTGGGGAGCAGCTCAGCTCTGCTCTGTAGAGCCACTCTGAGATGACATCTACTCAGGGACAATGGCTTATAAGCACATGTGAGAACCATTGTCCATAACAACAAACGCTCAGGTAATCCAATGTATACTCATTTTGGTGTGAGAGAGGTTTTCTGTATTTGATTTTGCAAAATCAGGTGCCCAGCCTGGTAGACATGGGCAGAAGCACCACATGGCTGGCCCACAAAGAGTTTTATTCCCCTGCCTCGAAAAAGTCCCTCCTCCAGCTCCCTTTCTACTGGGTATTACGAGGTCACCTAAGTAGCGTACTAGTCCTTACTGGGAGCATTCCCCCTTGCCCCATGAAATTCCCCTATTTCCTTGATGGATGCATTCTTATTCTAAGGTTCTAAGCTGGATCAAACTAGTTCTTCCCTTCTACTGAGCTCTTTTTATTATGCTAGCCTGCTACCCCCAAGACGTCCCTTAGTCCTGAAGATGGGCCACACCAACAAGAGTGATTTCTCACACAGTGTCTTAGTGAAAATACCAGCCTGCATTAAGAAACAAATCAGAAGGTTTGATGGCAGGAATAGCTCTGTTTCATGAATGGAGTCCACAGGGCATCTTAAGGAGAAAATGCTTGCAGCATGTCCTTCTCCCTTGTAGGAGAAGCAGCTAGTTTTTATTTGGTGAAGTAAAGAGAGGGCGAAGGGAGGAAGATCCACAAGGATTTGTCAGTCAGAACTTTTCTTCACAGCATCTCTTAGCCAGTCCTTCCTCAGCTCCAGATACAGCTTGACTACGGCAGCACTTGCAAAGACATTTTCATGTGGGGAGGTCTGGTGATGAAATTTACATCAGATCCTTGAAGTGGAGAATGGATCATTGGGATCCTCTGGTTAAGAAGAGGAGAAGATCGAATCACCTCTAATCCCAAGCACCTATCACGTTGTTTACCTGGCTAAGGGAAGTGACCTGGTGTAGACCATCCACCTGGTGGCTCCAACTGGGGCCACGAGTTTAACTTGCAATAAACAATTCATCGGGTCTAGAAAGTTGGCTTTCTTGTCTTTGTTAGACAAATAGTAGTACTTTGACAAACAAAAAGGCAGCATGGCTCTTTGTTGTTAATTGTCCAGTGGATCCCCAATCTCAGCAACCTTGGATCTGGTTTCTGAGGAGTGTCAGGTGGGTGTGAGCATGGTTGGCAGTCCAGTGCTTACCCTCTAGCCCTTCCCTAGGACCCTTGTAGAAAGGTAGAAATGGAAGTCTTTATGGACAGAGGCAGAAGTTCTGGTTGAGGTCTGAGGTCTACAGGAGCCATCCAGAATTGTGCCGCCTTTTGCGTCTGGCGTCTTACCCTCTGCACCTTTTCAAGGTTCATCTGCATTGGAGCCTGTTTGCGCCTTTGTTTTCACTGCTGAATAATCATCCATTGTGTTTCACTCTGTTTTATGCATTCATTCATCACTAGGCAGACATTTGGGTTATTTCTCTTTTTGGGCTGCTGTAAACCTTCATGTTTTTGCCTGGATGTAGCCTTCACGTTTCCTGGGCTCTTCCTGGAACATGTGGTAACGCACCATGTCTAACATTTTAGGAATGGCCAGGCAATGTTCCGAGGCTCTTGTTTCTCCAGCTCTTGCTCTTGTCTTTCTTACTCCAGCGTCCTGTCCTAGTGTGCATTGGGACCTCACTGTGGTTTTGGTTAGCATTTCCCTTTTGACTAAGAATGTTGAATTGGTGTGTAAGGGACCTTGGTGATGCAGTGGTTAAGTGTTTGGCTGTACTCTTGGTTTGTTGTTCCTCATTTACCTGCTTGTCTGTTGTTGGGGTTGAGACCCAGAAGGGAAAAGCCTTCTGTGTACTTAGTCGTTGAGAGACTGAAAAACGACCAGGGCTCAATCCAGGAGCCATCAGTTGATTGCAGAAAAGAAAATAATAGATGGTTTGCCGACAAGGGCACTAGTGACAAAGGACGTGGACAGCTGCCTCCAGTGATGCCCAGCGGGGCAGTGAGGCTTTTCTGTACGAGGGGTCTTTTTATATCATGGGGTATACAAGCCTCACATGTGTCAGAGCAGTGAAGGGTGGCATGCGGAACCTAGGAGAGCCAGGGAAGTCACAAGGTGCAGGACTGCCGGCTCCTTGCATAGCTAAAGCATGAGGATAGTAGCGTCTAGTCTGCGTAGTGGGCGGAAAGGCTTGTCTGCTCCTTTCTGGACAGCGGGAGCCATGGGGAGGGGATGGGAGGTGTAGTTTAGTAGGGCCAGTTGGAGCTTTCAGTTTGTGTCTCTACGTTTGTTTTGTGAGCCCTGGTTTTCTTCCTACGTGGATCCCAGCCCTGGTGTGTGTGTGTCTCTGTCTATCTGTCTGTCTGGGTGCAGGCAGTCAGCATACTTGGCTGCCAGTCAAGAGGTTGGAGGTTTGAGTCCGCTGGGAGGTGCTTCAGGAGAAAGGTCGGCCTTCTCCTTGAGAGACTCAGTGATTGTTTGCCCTTTGTAGCGCGTTTCTACTTTGATGCATGATCTCTCTACCTACCTGTCTGTCGGTCCAGCCCTAGTGGTGCAGTAGTTAAGTACTTGGCTAATCCAAAGATTGGCAGTTCAAATCCACCAGTCCTTCTATGTAACACCAACGAGACTGCCTTCATGAAGATGGACAGTCCTGGGAACACAGTGGGCAGTGTTATTCTGTCCAGAAGAGTCACTGGGAGTGGGAATCCACTCCGTGGCAAGGGGTTTGGTGCTTCGGTTTGATGTTGTTTTTAAATGTTTACTGTGACTTATGTGATGGTTTACATGGGAGAACATTAGTTTTACATTCATCCTATCATTGCCATGGTTACAATCCCCTCCATGCATCATCAACCAACTAATGGGTACACCATGCAAGCCTGCCCCCCTGTCGTCAGCCACAGTTCCTCTCCCTCTCAGGATCTAGAGTCCTTAGCCACTCCATATCCCCTTGTCATTGTCTCTACCTCCATCTCAGGCATCACTGCTTCTCTGGGTAGGGTCCCGCACTCCGCTCTTCTCTCTTGATGGTCCCAGGGACCTCTGCTCCTAGGCTGTGAAGTCAACCACTCCCTTCCTTTTGCTACAAAATGTTTTCCTTTACATTTTCAACCCTCACATTCAGTCCTGATAGCAATTATTCACTATTGTACCACATGAGTGCTATCCCCATCTCCTTTCACCAGTCCCGCCCACACAGATTGGATACTACTCCGTGGAGATCCCTCCGTGCCCTCTGGATCTAGGTTCCCTCTTGAAAGCTTGTAAGCCAGTCACTTCTTGCCTTTGTATTGGTGCTTTGTTTTTTAAAATCGATTTATTTGCCTCTCTACTGCCTCCCTTGGGAGTGCTGTGGCACGTAGCATACACAGTAGAATGCTAACAAAAAGGTTGGTGATTTGAGCCTGCCAGCTGCTCTGTGTGAGACGAGGCTCTTTGGTCCTGTGAAGATTTACAGCCTGGGACCCCTGACCAAAGTCATTATGAGTCAGAACCTACTCCATGGACCCAACAACAAGAGAACAACCCACCCACTCCTCTATCTATCCACCAATCCACCCACCCACCCTTCCACCCATACACTCACCCACGCACCCATGTTGTTTGGTGTTGGGCCGGAGGCCCCACCATGAAGCCTGACCCAAGTTGTGACTGCATCCTGGGCTCAGGTCCTGTGATTTTCAGGACCCTGCACCACATTTCCATTCTGGGCTTGGTCTGGGAGCCTGGCTCTTCAATGCCTTCTCCTCTGGAGAAATGCAGACCAATTACGGAGCTTTTGAATCCTGTGCTCCCTGACACACTCGGTGAGAGGTGCGCATTACGTGGCAGTAGCCCCATCGTGATGTCTGGGAAACACGCCCAGGGAGTACTTCACGATGAAGAGATCTGCGCTCTACAAAGTAAAACAAACACAGGCAGCAGACCCTCCTGTGCTCAGACATAGCATTTCTGGTGAAAGGGTGCCGAGCAACCCCAGCTCTCTAGCAGTAAAGGGTTTTGTTTAGAGTTTCGCTTTTAACTTGACAAGTAGGGAGCATCCTGGCTTCTGTTTTGTTTTTTCCCTTTTGGTTCCTTACACTCCAGAGCACGACTTTGTCTGAGCCGCTGTGACTTGTTGAGAAAGTGCGCGCAGTTCTGCCTGACAAGATGGCTTGCCCATGTGAGTAGGTGAGAGTTCTCCATCCCTGGCTCACGTGTCCTGGGCTTGCTCGCAGCTGTGTCCTGGGATGACACCCTGGGAGTCCTTGGAATCTGTGTCAGGCGACCGTGTGCCTTCCAAAGACTGCCTCCCAGAGGAGAACGGGGAAGAGGAGTTATGGGGGCTTGGGGCATGGAGCAGAAGTGTGAGGACTCTCAGGAACTTGGAAACAGTAGCCCTTGGGGTGGGCACTAACTACGGATCACCCTGAAGGTAGCAAGATTAGACCAAGGTTAGCGCTAGTGACCGTCTCTCCTTACAAGAGCCTCATTGTTCTCCTGTGGAGCAGACGGTGGATTTGAACTGCCAGCCTTACAGATAGGCGCCCAATGCTGAACCCACAGCTGCACTAGGGCTCCCTGTGCCTTCTAAAGAAACAAGTGTGCTGCTGAGAGACCACCAGGCCAGACTGCATCGCTTCCCCAGGAAACGGTTCTAGAGCTCAGACACTCCTTTACCTCATAGAGACCCACAGAGAGGCGAGAGAGCTGGGGGACCTGCGCCTCAGTGAGGGCCATGTGCCAACTGGGCAGGGCCTCTGTTCCCCTTGAGCCCTCTCCTCCCTTTTGCCACGTGCAGGCTGCTGGCATAGGTCCTTATCTCCTCACATCTTGAGTCCATCAGGGGGGCCTCCAGCCAGCGTTCTAGCTTGTGGTTTCTATGGGGACGCGCACTTTGAGTTCCAGTATGACGTCTCAAACATCAGTGGGCCATGGTTTGTGCGGACACACAGTCTGAGGCTATTCTTCATGGCTGTGTGAGGTGACTGTGCCCGTGGTGGCAGATTCTGCGGCAATTAGCTGCGCTCGCTGCCCCGTCCTAACCAAGCTCAGGAAAGCGTGACGTTGCTGAACCGGTGATAGGAGTTGCTGGACGTGTACCGTCTAGCTACTTGTTTCCTACGGGCTTATCTGTTCTCTGTTCAGCTTCTGCTGTTTTGTTTTGACTTTTTCCTTCTTTTAGAGAAATTGCATACTTTTTATAGCTGCATTTCTGTCTTCTGACGGCTTCTGAGTCATATCTTTATTTCTTAGAGATTATTACAGGGTTTACGATATGCGTTTCCTTCTCATCGTAGTCGTCTTCAAATAATATTTTATTATGATCATGCATGCTTTGGACTCCTGCGGTGCTGTAGCATCAGTACTGGACTAAGAACCAGAAGGTTGGCTGTTCAAATCCAACAGCTGCTCCTCAGAAACCTTATACCGGATCGCTGTGCGTCGGATCTGACTTGACGGCACTTGACAACAACAGTATATACTTTGTGCATGTTATCACGAGAGGCCAGACCCTGGAGAAGGGAATCGTGCTTGGTAGAATGGAAGGTCACTGAGAAAGAGAAGACCCCAAGGAGATGGATTGGCACCATGGCAGTAGCAATGGTGCGGGACCGGGCAGTGTTTTGTTCAGTTGTGTGTAGTGTCGTTGTGTGTCAAATGACTTGACAGCACCAAACAGCAACAATAACGGAGACGCTGCATCAGCGCTCCACTCTTTACAGCTTCGTAACGAGGTGGTAGAATTCGCACTTGGTATGCAGGAGATCCGAGTTCGGTTCCTGGCCAGTGTATTCCTGAGCAGTGTCCACCTGTCTTCCAGGGGAGAGTTGTGTGCTGCTCTGATGCTGAACAGGCTTCAGCCGAGCTTCGAGACAGACCAGGAAGAAAGGGCTGGCAGTCTACATCTAAAAGTCAGCCTGTGAGCACCCTGTGGGTCACGGGACAGCGCGGGACTAGGTGGAGTTTCTTCCCCATTGCGTGTGACGTTGGCGTGAATTGGAGGCCTCCTCAAAACCAGGCCCTTTTCCTGTTGTCACTCACGTCACTTCCACGTGTGCTGCTCACTCGCTCCGCAGCCTTTGTAACTGTGCCTGCGTCAGACAGTCCCGCTCTCGGTTTTATTTTTTCATATCAACCCTATGCTCTGGTGGAGTGTTTGACGCTGCCCCCACCCCTGTTTCCCTCTGCCGTTGGCATCTCAGTGTGCTGAGCTGAATTACTATTCCCAACCTCGTCCGTACTTGCTTTAGACTTCCTTCATCTACCACGAGTCAGAATGGACAACTGACA